CCTTTCATTAAGGATTTTAGTGATAAAAAGCCAATTTTAGCCCTCATTAGTGAGTATAAGGCAGAGGTTGTCGAAGAAGTGGTCACCGAAGAGAATGAAGACGAGATTATTGAGGTATAAACTTGTTTTCTCGCTCTCTATATCTGTTCACTCTCTATATCTTTACATTCTTTACTCTCTTCGCTCTCTGCTTAACATATTCTTCATAAGACGGGTATTCAATACTATTATCTATTTTTCTCACTTTTAAATAAGCTATTGTATAATGTTTTATGTTTACTACTTTACTAATGCTATTTGTTTTGATGTTTCTAAACACTATAAAAATGATGTGTTACTCAAACTGTGAATGATTTACAGGAACCCAATTCTGTTCGACAAACTGTTATAAAGGAATCTCAGATAAATACTGACGAAAATGAGATAAAATCAACTGAAGTTAAAGAAGTGGTTTCAAAACCTGAAGATTCGCATAAAAGTGTGGATTTGAGTAAAGAAAGTGCTAATAAAGCTGTCAAAGAAAATGCAATGTCTGTTACGAGCCATACTCCCCATCAGAAACGACAAGCGCCGAAACCCCCGCCAATGAATTCCATTATTGAGACCAATAATTATAATGAATCCAATGTTACGAATGAGACAAGTGTTGAAAAAGTGATTGAAAAACCAATTGAAGAGCAAATTAAAGACAATGAGATTAATGTGGAACCAAATGTTGAAATTATTGGAACTGATAGAACAGAAACGACTGAAACTAATCAAAACGAAGAGTCATTAATTAGTGGCTATGAAGTGACTGTATCTTCAAATCACAGCACAATCATTAAGACGTTAGAAGATTCTAATCCCGATATGTCTCACGTCTCGATTGTTACCATCGATAACAACGGCAGAGATGTTATGATACAAACGACTAATGACGAGACGTCTTCCGAGTCTGATGTGACGAATTCAGTGAATTCTTATATGAATGGTTCCAACGATGAGGTAGTGATCGTTCGCAACCCCACTAGTGATAAAATTGTGGTCACCACTGAATACATGCCATCAAACGATGAGAATGTGTTTCAAAACGAGACCAAAATGGTTAAGAAGGAACCAGAAACTACTGATTTGACTTCGAGTCACAACTTATGCCATTCCGAGACCGACGACACGCTCTCAGTCCACACCTCTTCCTCTGACAACAGTGCAAATGCAAGCGATAATAAGCCAAGAATTAAAGTCAACTTGAATTTAGTTTCCGAAACAGAACCGGAACTCTATTCCGACGCTTTAGCCGAAGTTCCAAAAGCTTCAAAAGAAAGCGCTGAAGTGTCTCAAACACGTGTGGATCAGGTGCCCACTCATCACGATTCCAACACTACTAAAGTCAGTTCATCCGCAAACACCAACTTAGCCAATGGTGGCGCTCCAGCCATCAAAACCAATGCATCGGCTCTGAAACGAGAACTTTCCAATTCTGATAGTTTTTTCAGTGTTAGCAGTGATAAAGAAAATTCGGTTACGAATGACAATCAAAATAATGGCTCCAATCCTGTGGTCGTAAGGAAACGACGCGAAAAGGTTTGTCTTTTATAATGGTTTCATATTTTGAATAAATTGTGAACTAATTGTAATGTTTAGGACATGTATATAAAGAAGAGTAATAATACCCAAAATTCTGCACAAAAGAAGACATTAACGAGAACTCGAAAATTTATGATCGATGGGGTTGTGGTCACCACTACTACCAGTAAAGTTATTTATGGAGATTCCGACAAATTGCGCGATGATCACGTCTTAAGGTAATCAATGGTCACATACGCTAATATTGGTTGTAATTGAAGTGTTTTATGTTTTGTAGAAAACAAGAGTTGAGAGAATTAAAAATGCTTCAAAAGCAAGAGAACAAACAGTTTCAAGACTTATCATTCAAAGCACAGTTTGGTATTGAACAGCAGGAGAAGCGCTTTGAAGTGGAGATGATTGCTATGAAACGCAATTACGACAACGATTTGGACGCTCTTAACAGACAACAGAAACAATTAGTCGAAAAAGCAGAACAACAACAGGAAATGGATTTGAAGTTTGCGTCAAAGAAGATCAGAACAGAGCAGGAGAGAGACCTCAAACAGTTTCGCGAGAGTATGAAAAACGAGACCAAACTTTTGAAACAAGAAGTGGATCTAATGCCTAAAGATAAGCGCAAAGACATGCTTCGCGTCCGCAAAGAGAAGTTAGACATGGATCAGAACGAAAGGGAACGCATTTTCGTGGAAAGTCTTAACGACAGTCACGACATGTCTCTGAAGAGACTGAGTGAAAGCCATAGAGACAAACTCGCACTTCTTGAGAGACAGTTCCTGCAACAGAAACAACAGGTCCAGAGGGCCAGAGAAGCGGCCATTTGGGAACTCGAAGAACGACATCTACACGAGAAGCATCAGCTCTCGAAACGACAACTTAAAGACTCATTTTTTCTACAGAGACATCAAATGCTCGTCAGACACGAAAAGGTAGTGATTGTATGAGAGTTTAGTGATAACAGAATGACCTATAATTGTGTTTCTGTGGACAGGAATTAGAACAAGTGAAGAGAATGAATGCATTACAAGAGGACGAACTCCTCAAACGACAAGCCATTGAAAGACGACATCTGCCAAAACGGATTCGCTCGGAGATGAAGACCAGGGAATTAATGTTTAGAGAGAGTCTACGCATAAGTATGGCTAACATACCGATGAGCACCTCTTCGGACGAAGAGCGCAATAAATTGAAACACTTTCAGGAAAGTGAGAAAAAGCGATACAAAGCGGAACAATTGAGACAAGAGCTCAAACACAACAAGCAATTGGAGGAATTGCGAGCGTTCTGTGAGTCGACAATCAGAGACTTGGAGCAGATCCAGAATGAGAAGCGCAAGTCACTGATGGAACACGAGACCGTCAAACTCAAACTCATGGACGATCAGCACAACCAAGAGTTTAGGGAATGGAAGGCACACCTCAAGCCTAGGAAACAGGTTAGCACTTGTATTGAATTGCATTCAATCATTGTATTAATCGATTGAATGATTGCAATGAATAGAGAATAGAAGAGGAGTTTATGCGTCAGCGCGAAGAACAGGAACGCTTCTATGGCTCGAACATGTCATACCTGAATGAGTTGGCTCTGGCCTCCAGTGCGGACCACTCGTCGCATATTCGCCATCAAAGTGCCAGCGGTTCGAGTTCTTGCTCTCCCGTCAGTACTCCCGGCTCTCCCGGCAATGAGATGTCATCGCAACAGACATTTCATTGAGTCATAACTTAAATGAATCAAAATATTCCTTATTTTACATTCGAGTAATCAATTCATACATACATTCATCCGATGTTTGCTTTACTACTAGTCCTGTCATCGAAACAGAATTGTTTTCAACAATCATTTATCCTATAAATGATTGCAATATTAATGCAAAACAAACTACTTATGCATTTGTCTTGTAATTATAAATTATATTTAATTTTGAGACTGAATTAATGCCAAATGTTTGTACAGAATGTAAGACTATATATAAATCTACAAAATTGGGTTTTATAACGATTTCTTAAAAAGAGCCTAAAGTGTGGTCTTTTGCTTACCTCTTGTGTCAGTTGAGGGTTTAAATGGTATCGCAATTAAGTGCCTATAATTAACTTATTTTTACTATTATTTAAATATTTAATAAATTATTTCAATATTTGTTCGCAAAACAATTTTTATTCCAATCATTTATATATCAATAATAAAAAGCATTTATTAAAAATGAATGAATTTATAACTTTTCTAATACAACTAAAAATATAATCATAAATAAAAAATCATTTAACAATTAGTCATTTTGATAATTATTATTATTTCTTTAAAATATTGTTTTCATGATATTTAAAAGCTTTGGTATTTAATGAATAGAAACTATTGATGTTTTTAAGTAAAACAGGAATACAATCGAAAATACGGAATACTATTGCCAACTATACTCAACATTAAAGCCAATGTTATATTTCAAACCCTTTAAAATAATAGGTAACAGATATTACAGTTAAAGGCTTTAATTGCGTTCAAAATTCACTCGAAATGAAATTTACTTTTTCATGATTTAAACATCAAATTGCAGTCAATTTTATGAAAAGAGCGATTGAATGCTTGAATAGCATATAAGGCACTCGACTTCGGATATCCGGGAAACGATTATAAATTGTGCTCAAAATTATATAAAACATCAATACGTTTAGCGTATAAAATATATATTCATTTAATATAAATTGACTTTTGGTTCAAATTACTTGATTTTCTAAATCTTTGAACTCAATTCAGATCACATTTTAGATAGATTTCCGATCGAAAATAATATTGAGAGAGAGAGAGAGAGAGAGAGAGAGAGAGAGAGAAAGATAATCTCCTTCGAGTCAGATCTACACAATTAGACCATACCTTCAATCTGACGAGTCGTATGTATACGATGTCTGTCGGAAGACATATGCTTTGGAAAGAGAAAAGATGAGAGTAAAATTAAGTATAGAAATGGTTATGCTAGTATGTGTCACATCCATCGGGCTCGTTGTGCAAAGATCTGTCCCTGAAGAGATCGTGCTAAAAACATGGCAAACAATTGAATGAGCGCTGAACCCAAACACACGGCCGCCACTAAATTCATGTTGCGTTCAATGATCTCAGTTATGGCTTCAATGCAACCTCTGGTAAAGATATATTTGTTGACTTCAACCACAGAACTGATATTCTGGACATTATATCCACACATTATGTTTATGAGACCGCTCTAAATCATATACAAATCAACAGTTAAATAGTAATCGCCGTACAAATCAATAAAAGTAATAATACATCAAAATTCTTAGCGTTACGACAGCAGGAAAAAGGCACAGCACAGCGCTCTGGACTCGGGTTCGTCTGATTGCACTCAAAATATATATTCCTCGACCTATCAATCAAAACCATTTTTAAATACAAATAATTTCAACAATAATAATGATTGCATTCATACCAGTCTTTGTATCCCTTATCAGAAATACCACAACATTTGAATTCAGTCTGAATGACATCAATGAGATTCTGGAGATTAGTGTCATCTCTGTATTTCATGATCGGATCTTTTGATAGATTCTCTTTCAGATAATAGGAGAAAGAATTGGGAAAAACGAAAGCAACGGTCGATAATATCACTTCTCCCACAAACAGCAATAACAACAGCAGTGAATACTTTAAAACAAATTCAGACAATAAGACAACCATTAGATGTTTACGAGACTAATGTGACAAATACTGAATGTAATACCACTTTAAGTAAAAATAGGTTTTCTCTCAGAGCACCCAAACATCCGGCAAAACTCATACTGAATATAATGGCGCCGACAGTCATGAGGGCCACAGAAATGTGTAAAATAAAGTCCAATATATTCTGCACTTTGAGGAATGTATGGTTATATTCTTCGAGGAAAGACCACCCGCCCAGACCTATCAGTGTCCCGCCAATCAGCTGACCATCAATACAAACATACAATAGGATTAACACACATTCATTGGCATAAGAGTTGATTCAAATAATACCCAAAATATGAGATTAAAGAAGAAAAGCGAATATTTAAGACACGGAGAGATGAATGAGAACTCGTCGTCAAAGGTGTGAAGAATGGTATTCTGACCGCACGGGTGGCCAGAAGTGTGCGCTCGCGACGAGTGATGCGACCGATGAGGTCGTTGCCAATTGTGACCACCGCTCGACTCACCCCTCGACTGACCATCTCTTCGAGCCATCGCTCACTCAATAGTCACCAATTGTCACAACACTTGAATCCAATGGTAATGTACTCCTAAACACCGTTTAGCGCTCCGATCGATGTCTTCAATTCAAACACATATTCACACAATTAGTGATGAATGAAATGAACGATCGATTGATTTGTAAACAATTGTCAATCAATTGAATGACAAAACAGTTTCAAAACAAATCAATGTTTGAGTTATTAATCAAATAAAATGAAAGACTTGTGAGTCGTTCACAGACTTGAGAGCGCATGCGTCCAATGGATGGCACTTTTGAATCACTTTTGTTGACAAAACACATTCAATACATTCAACACAATTGTTTGACAACTTTTTCAACCTTTGTTTGCGACCAATGGTTGGGCCATTTGTGGCCATCGGTGGCCACTTTGCCGACACTTAGTCTGGTTGTGTTAGATTTTGGATGTCGAGAATAGCGACCATGGTCGTTTTTGGCTATAGTATACATGGTGCACAATGTATTGTATACCGTACAGGCCCTATCCCCTGTTTAAAGTAATTACGATTTGGCCTTCGACATCCCAATGTTAGATGTTTAGCTGAAGACACGCCCCAAGAGTTGGGCCAACACTAGAGTGAAGAGTAGAGCCATTCCCACAACACTTGACGTCAAATTGATTTGGTTTTCAAACATAAACTTTGCATTTGTTTTGATTTGTAATTAATTTGTTTGTTATTTAATTGTTGTTTTGTTTTTGATTTACTATTTATTAATGAATCCATAAAAGGATTTATTTGACGACAACTTTATTAGTTTACTGTAATTGACGTTAATTTTGGACTAATTTTTTGACGACAAATGTCTAAAATGGTTGACGAGTGCATTGTCTCCGGCATTGAGCCCAAGACTATTGAGGCCAAGAATCAAGAAAATAATGACCACTTTATGTCTGGTGTTGTCGAAGGTTTGGTTCATTGATTGGCTTTGCATTCATTCAATAATACTTTGTTTGTATATATGACAGGCTTTTATGGCCGGCCGTGGACTGCAACCCAACGCAAAGACCTATTCATTAAGTATTTGAACCAAATATAAGCAATTAATTTGCAAATGGATTGACTGATTGTGTATTACTTAGACTCAAACGGTTTGGTCTCAACACGTATATGTATGCGCCGAAAGACGACCTCAAGCATAGGGCCTATTGGAGGGAACTCTATACCGTCGAGTCAGTCACTTGAATGTTATAGTTATGCAAACTATTCAATACATTAACCGCTAATCCATTGATTGCTAACAGAGAGGCGGAACAGTTGAGTTCGTTGATCACTGCGGCCAAAGAGAGCTCTATAGACCTGATATACGCTCTCTCGCCAGGTCTGGACATATCGTACTCGAGTGCCAAAGACGTGTTGTGTCTGAAGCGCAAGTTGGAACAGGTCTCCCAATTTGGTTGCAATGCTTTTGCGCTACTCTTCGATGATATTGAGCCTGAAATCAGTGAATCCGATAAAGAGGTGTTTCAGTCGTTTGCGAGCGCACAGGTGTCCGTCTCTAACGATGTGTATCAGAGCTTAGGTCAGCCCCGGTTTCTCTTCTGTCCGACCGAATACTGCACTTCACGAGCGGTTCCCAACGTCCAGAACTCTGAATATTTAAATACCGTCGGCAGGACTTTAATGAACGGCATTGATATCATGTGGACCGGATGTAAAGTGATTACACATACCATTACTATTCAGTCTATACAAGAGTTATCGGAAGTGTTGCGCCGACCGCCTGTTATATGGGATAATCTTCACGCCAATGATTACGACCAAAAGCGCATATTTCTGGGCCCCTATAGCGGCCGCTCTACTGATCTCATCCCTCACTTGAGAGGCGTCTTAACGAATCCCAACTGTGAATATGAGCCCAACTTTATAGCCATACATACTTTGGCGCAATGGACTAAATGCAAGTCTGACGCCAAATGTCAACTCACTTCAGTCAGCGCTGACATCAAACTCGAAGCGGAGAGTGATAACGGATCTATTGAAGACATACCAATGCATTTAAGTCCCACCACTTATCACCCAAAGAAAGCTCTTAGGATTTCTATCAATGGCTGGTTGGCTGAGTTCAACAAAACAAAAACAGCTTTCGGTCGATCAAACTCTTTCATTCACTTGCCGTTAACACCGACTGTTGTCCCGACAGTCAGTTCTCTTCCCGAAGTAACCGATAGTCTCAATGAACCTAAAATTCTGGAGATGACTGAAAGTCCTTCGACTTCATTAGCAGATCCAGAAGGCATTAGTACTGATAAGAATACCGAAACAATCAGTACTAATAATTCAGTCAGTAGTGCAATATCTAAGGATGTGAATCAAGTTCTGGAACCAATGGATTGTAATCCGAGTCCAAATGCTTCTCCAAAACATACATTTGATTCACAAATGGATGTCTCGAATGTCGTGAAGAGTGAAACATTTGATTCGCCAACAGATTTGGTTCATAAGAATAGCGCTAATAGTATTGACTCTCAAGAAGAAATGCAAACCGAGAGTTCATCGGAAAGCGATGAAGAGAACCGTTGCAATCAATTGACTGTTGAAGACATTTCACTTTTGGTTGATTTGTTTTACTTACCCTTTGAACACGGAGGACAAGGATTACAGTTTCTCAATGAATTCCATTGGCTTAAAGCTAATGGATTTCTAGTGTCTGAATACAGACGAAAAAGGACTACAGATCCAGAGGGACCAGAAGTGTCCGAATGGTACGAAAGAGCGGCTAAATTCGACGATATGACTGCTTCTGTTGGACGACTACTCACTCGATTGACTTTTTGCAAGAATAGATCTCTTCTCTATGATATCTACCCTTATGTTTGGGATATAAAGGTTTGAATAATTAATTAATTTAAAATGTTTAAAATATTCTCAAATGGTATATTAAATTGTTTAGGGAATCATCTCTTTGTTGAATTCATACGTCAAATGGCTCGGTATGTCTCCAATCATTATTACTTACTTACAGTGATCTGACTTTCAATTGAATGCAATTTCTCTCTCTCTCTCTCTCTCTCTCTCTCNCTCTCTCTCTCTCTCTCTCTCTCTCTCTCTCTCTCTCTGGTTTATTCTTTAATTTTTCAATAAATAAATTTATGATAAATTATTATTATTGAGATTTATGAACTTTAAGCAAACTTAATTAAGTAATGGGATATTATTCAATGAAGATTGTTATTATTTCAATGCATTCAATTGGTATACATTGTAAATGTTTTACGTTTTACACTGAATAATCAGTCACTGACTTTCAATAGCTATAGTATTGTAATAATGGGCCGTATTTTTCCTTTATTACGATAGCATTGGGAAGAGTGCCGACGACTGCTTTGAGTCAACCAATTGGGTTCATCCCTCCAGCCTTTACATGTATGCCATTAATTGAGTTTAGCTTTAATTTTACTTTTAATTAGTTTTTACAAACAATATCTCAGGTAAGCATACAGTTTATGACAGGAATATTGCAAATTTATATCCATTGACTATTTCTCTGACCATTTCTATAACCGAACTCATTATCCATTTGTAAACTAATTGATTGATTGATTGAAACTCATTTGGTTTGGGTTTAGTTTAATTTGTTAGTTACACGAAATTAAGTACATAATTGAGTTTAGGTTAGTGCAAGAATTGGCCAATTCTCTCATTATTCTCATCATTGAATTTGTAGTCAAGAAATTGATAGTTTGTGTCAAACCTTATCTATAAAATCAGCTTTTATTCCATCAATTGATTGCATAACAGTATTATAAATATATAAATTATATGAAAAATTTTAATTTTTACTACAGATATCTGAAAATATTTTTTGAAAACTTGTGTATTGAATAGGGTTTTCAAAGGGTTATAAGGATGCCTTTCAAAGTGGGGAACAGGAACCATGGGTCTTCAGGGGAGGTTTGACCGGCGAATTACAGGTTTGATTTGAATTTGTATAAACCTTATACGATCGCAACATTGAAACCAATTTTGAATATATTGTAGAGATTACTACCCGTTGAAACAGTTAGCGATCTATTCTTATATAAAGCCCCGGAATCTCCTTCGAGTCAGATCTACACAATTAGACCATACCTTCAATCTGACGAGTCGTATGTATACGATGTCTGTCGGAAGACATATGCTTTGGA